TGTTATTATCAGCCAGAGTGCAGTCTTGAAACAGCAAGAAAACAAAACAAAAAACAAAACAAAATGAGACAAGAGAAATATGCCATTTACAAAACTGACATGGTTCCATTTTTGCTTCATTTGCCCCAAAATCTCTTCTAGTGAAAAGAATGAAAAATGTATCTTCCCAAACTTCTCTCAGTCTTTCTCTCCGAAGTTTTCCTCAGTCAGACTGGGCTGCAACAGTCATCAGTTCTGTAGCTTCGCATGACATTTCTTAGGCATGTGTTCTCTGTCTCTTACTACGTCACATTTTCATTAAGTGATAACCTGAGGACCACTGCTGACACTCCCAAGTACATTTTTCCCAGGGCTCTACCCTTTTAGATACTTTGATTTTATAAGACAAGTCTTGTAACGCATGTGATATTTAAGCAAACAGAAATATGGGTTTTGAGAGGCTTCTCAAAAAAAAAAAAAACCCTCAAAAGAACTCTTTTAGCTAGCATACTATATATTCAGGAGTAAAATAATAAATGTTTAGATCTCTTTTTATTACTTGATTTTCTCAGCATTTCTGCATGTTTTCTGGGATTAAATCAGAGACCTTTCAAAAGTTCAAGAATTCCATGTCCTCATGTATGTGGCTTCTTTTTTCAGTCACAATGTCTCTGGGTCTGAGTCTATTCTTTCTGAGCCCCCAGTTTCTCTTTCAGCTGGCCCTGCAGATAAGCCACACTCCACTCCTATTCTGGTTAATAGTATTTATTTTCACCATTCCCTTGAAGGATCCTGACCAATTTCACCAGCTGTTTTTTCCTCTCCATTTTTGTCTGTTTTTCAGTTACCCCCCTCTTGTGTTTATGGCAGGGCAGTAGCCATCTTTGTGCAGCGCTGTTCCACTTGAATACTTGAACATCCAAGTTTAACAGACCTCGCATCGACCTTGTTGGGGAATGATAATGTGTATTTTCACACCTAATGGAGACACAAAACATTTTCACACATCGAGTTTACAAGCTGACACAAAGAGGCCTCTCAGCCAAACCAAATACCCACACAAGACTGACAAGCCAGGCACGGGTTTCCAGTATGTCAGGATCACAGGACAGGTCCACACACATGTAAGGTCACATCCTAGGTATGCTTCTGCACATACAGGATTGTAAAGCAGAAGCAGTCAATGTAGCGGAAAAATTTGACCTTCAAGAGGGCTCCTTGGAGACAAGGGTGCTGCCAGGGTGCACAGCCTTGGCAGGCGTGCCCTGCCACCACTCCAGCCCAGGACCCTGGCACCACCAGCAGCCAAGGAGAAGCTGCCAGGCACAAGTGCTTGAGACATAGGCTGTGGCAGTGCTAGTGGGGGCCAACTGAGTGAACCTGGAGTCCAGCACAACGCAGGGCTTGTACGTGGTATTACCAAGCAGGAGCAACAGGCAAGCTGCTCATAGGTTGCACCCTGCCCCACCACAACACATATTCCCATCCTTAAAAAGTGTCATGGATCTATTCCTGCATCCCCTTGTCTTTGCAACGCTGTCATTTGACGCACACCCTCTATTTTCATGTTGGAGGATTGTGGGGTTTTCTCCCAATTTTGGTCCCAAAAAACTCTCCCCTGTGCCTCTCTAGTCTTTTTCTTTCCCCATCTGCACGGCTCTGATCCAGCAGGTCGACTCTTACTCTCTGCCAGCTCCCACAGCACTTTGTCTCCCTGCTCAGATCCTGGACCATTCACCCACTTCCGTCAAGAGCCCAAAGCTTTTTCAGGTTGATAGCACTCTCTCCTGTGCTGTTTGCCAACACCTCCCTCTTCTGGACACAGTGCATACGGCATGTATGCAAAATCCCCTTTTTCCTTGCCTACAAACCTATTAATGTCTTCTGTTTTGATTTATGGACTTCAGGAGATGTCAGGCTGTGAACTGTGGTGTCTCGAACAAGAAGCAGGACCTGCAGTTTAAACTTTTAAGGGCTTTTCAAAACGCAGCTGAAATGATAAAGCCTGCATTTCCTTAAATAGGCTTAAATTTGTATGCTGAGGTTCTCATCTGCACTGAAAACAATTTACAGGTAAAAAAAAAAAAATCGGCACAGTGAAATCTTGAAGCTTTTGTTTTCCAGCAGCCATACTCCTCTGTGCTCTCATCCCTTCATACCTTCCCAGTTAAAGGCTACCCTAGATTATTACTTGGAAGAAATCTAGTTGCAGCTGGCCGTTGCTGAGACTCATTCAACACATGATGCCAGCAGGAGCAGACTTAAAAGTTTTGTCTGAGAGATATATGATTTGTCTCCCTTTCACCATGCCATCCATTCCCTGCTCATCCTTCTTTCACTTACCAATTGATTTCTATGATTTCTTTTCCCTGCCTCGGACCAAAAATCACGTGTCAGGTTGTCTAAAGAGGAGGGCGTTTAATACATGGCTGGAACAAAGCTGTTGGCTCATAATTTCAGTATTTCCAACCTACTGCCTCAATTTCCCCACTAGTTTCAATGGGACATTTTTGTCCCCCTTGCTCTTCTGTATCATCTGTACAAACTGTTATACACTTTGTGCTTCACTCAGGATGTTCCTCCGTTTCATCTGTGGGAGAAGTGACCCCCTGTGCAGAGACTGTATTGTTATGCTGGAGGTTGGGTGAAACTCACCGGGCATCACAGACAAATAAATATGGATAAATATCCAAACTCAGGGCTATGGAGAACTGCCCACCTTCCTGCCCATTACCAGAAAATCCTGAGAAGTGACTTAGTACACAGCTGAAGAAACAGCCCTATAATGGTTTCACAAGCAAAAAGTGCATCAGAGATCTTTAAATCTGAAGCTGAGATTTTAGAGGCTGAAATGTCAAGAGCTGGGAATGATGATCTTGACTTTTAAATTGCAGTTCCCTTAAGAATCACATGGTTGGCCCTACAGTACAACTTACTGTAAGGCAAAGGACATATATTTTCACAGCAAGAAAATAGGAACTTGACCTTCAGCACTCAATGCTGTCCTGTAAACAAAGGGACTATGTTTAATCCAGTGTCACTAGAAATGCCTTATGTAACCAAGACATACACGTGGAAACAGCAGATATAACACAGAACCCATGGGAGTGAACCCGTGTCTTGCTTGATCAGCAGTTGAAGCCCAATCAAGATGCTTTAGGGAGGGCTGATGGCAAATGGCAGATGCCTCTGTACAGGCAGCTGAATCCCACCCGGCAAGACCATAGCCCAAAGAACTTGGTCTAATCCTTCAGCTGGTCTAAGGCTGACATGAGATCCTCCATCATTATTGCAGGAATGACTATTAATTGTTGTCTGCTATTTTAATTTCACCTAATATTACTTAAGCTGTACTGCTGGAGACAGACTATCTCTAGCTATTTCTAGCCCTCCATTGTGAAGGATACTTGAAAAAATGAGCTAGATAGAGGATGAAACCTTTTTGATTAATATATTTAAATCAAATGGCTAATCTTGCAGACAAAGGAAAGGGGAACTCTTGATCTAGTGTTTAGTTTCACATAGCTGTACTTTCAACAGATTAATCATTCTAGAAATTCTTCTCATTGCTACTAGCAGTACTTCTTGGAAGCGTTTCCTCTTTGATATTTAAAACCTATTTAGGGCATTAACTTTGAGATTCAAAGGCAGCTTCTCCACCAAAACCTTTTTTCCTCATGTAGACCGACTGTGGCAGACAACTGAGGCAAAGATCTGTGGCTCTTGCTGATTTGTTCCCCGCCAGCCTGTACGCAGAACATGGGAGCCATTTATTTGCCCTCTGATTTCTCCGAGCTGCTCCCTTCAGTACAGACCAAAAATCATCCTTTCCTCCAAACTAAAGCGAAAAGTTTTGCGCAAGTTATACTGTATCTACCAGGGATCAGCTTACACTTCTACTCAGTACACAAAAGCTGCAGTAAGGCTGGATCTAGGAACAAAAACGAAGAATCCTGTAAAAATCTTTGCAGCTGCCAAGCTCCCAAGCAGCAGGGAACGTGCCGGCTAGAAGGCAGCGCCGGAACTCGCCGTGTGCTGCACGCTGCCCTCCCGGCCGGCTCTGAGAAGGCCCTGCCAGCGTGGCAGCCCTGCGGGGCGG